CTCCACGGAGATTCACAGGGACGCGGTTACATTTTAAACGTTTTACTGATTATTTGTGTCAGTGAGGGTTCCCCATTATCCTCTTCACGTCCACACCGCTCTTTTTAATGCTTGGCCTTTCCGTATTCGACATGTCGAGTCTAAAGACACCTGTGTATGTGTTTTTCCCGGTGTGTTGTGTGTGGCCATCAGTGTGTGGCGTGTGTTTGCGTATGTATGCGTGTTTTGCAGCGTACGTTTGTGTGACTGTCGCGTGCGTGTTTTGTGGTGTGTCTTTCTGTGTATGGTGCGTGTTTGCATATATGCCTTGTGCATGTTTTGTGGTGTACATTTGCATGACTACCATGTGCCTGTTTTGTGGCGTGTATTTGCATGAATGCCGTGTGCATGTTTAGGGATGTGCGATTGCGTGAATTCCGTGTGTAATGTGTCTGTAGGAATGCGATGTGTGTGTGTTTGGGCGCATGCCGTGTGCATGTCTGTCTGTGCGTGGCAGCTTGTGTTCTTCTTCCCCAGTGCTTTGACTGCGTGTCTTTGAGCTCAGGTGTGAGGTGGGGGGGGGGGAGGGTTGTGTGTGTGACCAACCGTAACTTTCTAACAGGAAGCCCGATTCCACCGTTCGGATCGACCCTGTATCTGTACAGACAAAATCAACGGCCAAAGACCCGCCGCATTCCTGTGATGCGGTGATGTAGTACAGTCACACGTTTGATGGAGGCGGGTTGGACAAAAAACAAAGGGGTGGGGCTAAATACAGTAAGGGTGTCCGAGCAGCTGGACGCCATCGGGCGGGGGTTGGATCCAGGGTACGGTTAGTGACTCTGTAACATTAATGTTTTTCAGTAGTGTCACTAGGACCCTGTGGCCCTGTCACATGACTCTGGGCCTCCCTGGGGTGACTCAGGCGGCTCGGCGTCCCAAACAGGCCGTGCTTGGGCTCCTCAGTGCCGGCGAGGTGGGTGACGGATCACCAACCAGTTCCTCCTCTGCTTGGCTCCCCCCCTTCTCATTAGTGCTGGGGCCGTGTGGCAGCGCAAGACAGATAGTGGCGTGGGGCGGCAATCGCTTCTACTGACAAGAGCACTGGTGCCCCCCCCCCCCCCCCCCCCCCCCCCCCGTGTCCTTCAGGGCGCGCTGTCTACCCACAATGCCCCACTGCCACCTCTCCTATTTTGGGGGCCGACCAAATCACGAGAAGCCCTACCTGCTTTCTGAACCCCTGACTGTGGTCTTATTGGATTAGGAATTAGTACCCAGCAAACTGTTCAACCAATAGAGAGAAGCCAACTCCCCTCCCACCCCATCACTGTGTGTCTCAAGTGCTCTGATTTAAACACACCGCCTGTTTCAGTCAAGTACCTGCGGTGCGGCAGCGACGCTAATCATTACCCGCTCATCCGGCTGCCTCGCATTACGGCCCCTGAATCAGACGGCCCATTACCGGCCCGCTGTGATTAGCTGATTAATAAGCAGGGGGCGGGCGTGCCGGGGACAGCACTCCAGGTGATTGGCTGGGGAGCGCGCATGAGCATTTTGCAGGTGTGCTTTTCGTTTAGGGATCCGCAGATAGTGAGCATGGGATGCCTTGCTGCTGAGTTCCTGCCTTTAGGTACCTGTAGGTAGAAACTGACAGTCGGCCCAGCTTAGATTTAATAAGTCTGAATGTTTTATTCTATTATCAAATAGAGATACAAACAATTTCGAGTCATTATCTGTAGCGGTTTTTGACACATGACTATTATAAAACCCCGTTTTTCAAGCTTCATCTTGGTCGCTATTTTAGTGGGTTGTTTTGCTGGATTCCATGGGAAAATTGAGGGTGAAATTAACCGATATTTCTGGTCAACTTGCTGAAAAATTGTTGCATTTCAGTGTGGTTTTCGATAAATAGCGACAAGTTTGCCGAAAGAGTAAGAAATATCCTTTATTTTCATGGAAAAAAATTACTGGAGAGAGAAATGATAAGTTGAATCTGAAATGTTTTGGGCCAGTTTTTACCCATTATTCACCGTCAGTACCTACTGCAGGGTGTTAGTAGATTCACAGAATATTTCATAACAGAGTTGAGGAGTAGAGGCTGGTACTTTACTAGAGTAATGAGAATGTGAAAGGTTATGGTCCTCGGTCAGCCGCGTCCTGCTGGAACGTGCGAGTTCCTTATGACTGGGTCATCCTCTCCTTTTATTTTTTCTTTTTTCTAATCCAGGGGCAGACGGGCGTGAATTCATAACTTAGGCCGCGCTTAACCTCCGAGTAATTGGGTGTAGGTTTAACCGTGACCACGGTCAGTCGTCATCCTCCCAAGAAGCATCAATCAGTTATACTCCCACTTGGGATTGGCAGCGGGGGGTGGGTGGGAGAGGGGGTGACTTGGGGAGGAGTACTGGGAAGTGGAATGGACACACCAACCTACCCCCCCACCCCAAGCAGTGCTGATCTGCACAGCTCAAATCAGTTCCAGTTAAGTCTTTTACTTTGTGTCCCCCCCCCCCCCACCACCCACCAATAATCCAACCCATGCCAGCCAGCCTCTGGTGTCCAGTAGGA